TGAGTAAAGTCGACCACTTTTCTCAGGGGTATCGCTACCTCTGGGCGATGTAGGGAGTCCTTATCCATCAGTCAAATGCATCCTGGGCAGACTGTCGGGGTTCAACCTCCTGATGAGTCGGTGAAAGTCCGATGAAACAGTCTGGTACAGTCATGCTGAGTGTATAGCGAATATGACAACACACACGATCAGCTGAACACCCTTGCTTTGGACCGATCCTCCCTGTCGTCAATCCTGCAGCAGCTGAACCCTCTTCCTTTGGACCAATCCTCCCTGTTGTCGTCTGCCCATAGAGAAGGAATGAATACTGAGGAAACCTAAGAAAGATGCTCCATGCTGCTTTGTGATGACCCACCGGAGATTCAACTAGCATGGGGTTCGCATGCCTTGTGCCATGGGGATTATGAAGGGATAGTCCATGCAAGTTTTTGCTTTCATACGCACAGTGACAGTCAGTACTGTACTCATGTACGGCACCCTGACATGTCATGTCCAATTTGTAGACTGGCTGGAACGGCAATGCCTCTTTAACTGCTGTCGACATGCCTCCATGTTCTTAGCATGTAGGAACCACGTAGTCTGTGACATCTGTCTGCACCGCGCCATTCGATGCAGCAACGGTGACTGCGAAAATTGGATACAGTGCTTCCATAGTCCACACCCGAACCAGTCCTGTCCGGTCTGTAGGGGTGGCCACTTACCATAGGCTGCTCCTCAACTCCAAATCTTATGCAACCCAAACACTAACCTCCCTCATGTGCCATTCTAGAGTAGTATGTTCCAGGGGTGAGTGTTTACAGTTCTGCTAAGTTCGTCATACACCTCTCCCCTGCCTTTTGCATGTCATACTCTATCCTGCCCTTCACATATTTCACATATTTCTCTCCTGCCCTTTGCCCTCCACCTCCCCCTAACCCACACTCCTAAAGAACTCCGCCTTCTATCCCTTTCCCTGCACCATCCCCTCCACCTTCCACACTTGTGCTACTAGCAAACACATACGAATGAGCGCATCGTTAAGAGAACAGACGATATGAAGATCCGAAGTGAAACGAACAGGAGTATGAAGTTCTGAAGAGAAATGCACAGGAGCATACCTTCCCTTTTACTCTTCCTCCTGTTATAATGTGCAAGTGGGCCGTCAAGGCACACGGGGATGTGGGCAGCTGCCGCTCAACCACAATCAACGTGGGCAGCCTTGTACGTGGGAGGCATAGTAAAAGAGGAGCTGTTGCCCCAAAGAAACCCCAACTAAACACAATTCAAAATGGTTCAATTATGACTCATGTTGCTTGCTAAAGAGGTGAATTATTTAGTTGTTGGGCTGGCTCAACTCGAATCTACTTGTCTGGGTGGAATATAGGCTCTGTTGTGGTGGAAACTTACCACACACGCACAATCAGTTGTCTGTATGTATTTCTTCTTTCTTGATTTTTTTGAAATTTTCAGATTTTTCTAACTTTTTGTGTGTCTGAGTGAGCACTTTAAGAATTGCTGAACAGCCAGTGCTCGGTTGTTTGGAGTGCCTGCAGGACTCTTAGGGGGCGCGCTTGGTCTGTGATGTCTGAGGTGCATATGGTATATGGGTGATAAGTTGATAACAGATGTCTGTCGGAGTGACTCCCTGGCTCAGCAGGTGGTGGGAACCAACATTTGCGGGGTTCACTCGTGATGTGAGTAGGTGATGTTACGTTTTGCTCCATGTTGGATGTGTACACTGCCTCGTCTGCGCTCTGCTGCTTTGCTGCTGTCCTGCTTGCGTCACATGTTGTTCTTTGCAGCTGCTGTGTTCACTGTGTGGTGTGGCTCCGGTGTTGGTGTTGCCTTGTGCTTCGCTATGCCGCTGCCTTTCTGCTCATCTGCATGTTTTGCCTTTCGCCTTCTTTGCTTGTGTGCCGTGTAGTTTGTCTGCTTTGTTGATGTTGCCTTGTGCTTCACTGTGCTGTTGGCGCACCGTTTGTCCGCTTGTGCTGTTTATAATGCAGTTTGTTTTTGGTGTTGTGCAGTTTGGTTGCCCTGGCACTTTTGCCTGGTGCTTTGCTGAGTTGTTGCCTGCTGCTGTGTTCCGCTTGTGGACAGTCTGCTTTCAAGAAGGGTTAAAGGGTTGATGACCCAAACCATCAATGCAGGGGTTCCACAGATTGTCGAGGGTTCAGCCTCCTGATGAGTCGGTGCAACTCCGACGAAACAATCTTTCTTTTCGTTGTTATTATTATTAGTATTTTTAAACGGACACCCGTCCCTTTGGGGGGGTCCAGTCCGGTGGCTTATCACCGGCAAGCATGTTCTTACAACTGAAGAAAAGAGGGAGAGACAGATGAGACAGAGGGTCAGCGTATCCCTGGTGGCACTAGTCGCCTAGAAAAGGGGGGACTGCTTCGGGGCGGCCGACGAAACAATCTTTCATCATAAGTGTTTTTTTTTTTCTTTTTCCCTTTCTCGGAAGTTTCTCCTTTTTAGAAGGGCGGCGGCCTCGAGACATCATCATTGAACTGGCCGGCCCCAGGTAAGTCAGAATTATTTTGTTCTGTCCACTTGATAGTAGTTCATACTAAGTTGGTAACACCTGCATTTGGAATTGAGTCTGTATTTCAATAGTTCACTCAACTTCACGGGTGTACCAACTGGGCGGCGCATCAGCTTTTTTTTTTTTAACTCTTTCTCTTTTTGGGACTTGTATTTTTTTGGATGGCTGTTCGTTTGTCGTTGCTCTGTTTCTTTGGCTCGCTGGTTTTTCCCTTTGGTGCCTTTTGCTGTTTGTCGGTCTAACCCCTCCCCTGTGCCCGCCAGCCTATGTCCCTTGTTGTTTTTTCGACCTGCCACCTTTGTTTGCTGTGTTGTGCTGCTTGTCTGCCCACCTGCCTCCTCCCTGCCCTCCGGCCTATGTCCCTTGATGCAGCTTTTCGTCATTGTCTTGTTCCCTCCTGTCCTTTGCCTCATTGTCGTTTGTCTGCCTATCCTCTCGACTTACCCTTCCTCTCTCACCCATCAATCTGAGCTCCTGCCATGATTTGTTAATGAGGTTGGTCATCTGTCCGTATGTTGGTATGCCAGTTTGAGCCCTGGACTACTGTTCTGTTACTTGTAGCCATGCGATGAGCTGTTTTGGAGAAATTCTTCTGATGTGAAGCTCGACTGCGGTTTGTTTGTTTGTTTGTTTGTTTGTTTGTTTGTTTGTTTGTTTGTTTGTTTGTTTGTTTGTTTGTTTGTTTGTTTTTTAACTTACAAGTGTTACCACACGCACACACACACACACATGGGGGTTGGAGGTGTCCCTGGCTGACTCTACCTGGCATCAAGTTGGCCCACAAGAGTTTGAAGTAGGACAAGCTGGGTACCCAACCCAGGAAGGGTGCACCACCAGCTTTGCGAAGGGATAGGCAGTCCCTGGCTTCCAATTGGCTCTGACAGTATCCCTGTCCCGAATCCCTTTCCCCACGTTTTTCCTCTCGTGTTTCCCTGTCCTCTTTTCCTTTTCTTTTTCTTTGTCTTTTTATGATTTGTGCCTGAGATGCTGTTAGTAGCAGAGAATGCTACACCCATTGCACACACTCAATTCCTCGCGAACAATTGCAATAAACGGTCCCAGGAGTCAGCCTCTTCTAAAAAGTTTTGATTTTTTTCTTTTTCTCTTTTTTATTTTCTTCTTCTTTTTTTTTTATTATCTTTTTTCCTTTTGTTTGATGTGTGGATATGATCTTTTTACTTTTTGGTTCACGGGACCCGTGCACACGCCTGACGCCCAAACCAGCGAAGAGGAACTGCCCCAAAAAGTCAGGGGTGCAATAAAAGTAAGCATCTCCATGAGCCCAGACCACCTGAACCTATACAAAAACGAGTCCCCCCGCTTCCCTTCCTCGATGTTTTCCCTGTTCCTTCAATGGCCTAAAGGTACGATCAGAGCAACGCAGATCACCCCACCTTTTCTAAAAAGATTGTGCAAGGAAGATGAGCGATAACGAACTTCAGCAATCAAACAGTATCATACATATGAGTCCAGATAGTTGTGACCTCGAACCAACAGCAGAATTGCATCACGAGATTCACCAAATAAGAACACACCAAGAGTTGATAATTGACAATGCTGAAATAGTCCCATCATCATCAACAAAGAACCAGAGTTGATATCCTATCTGGCGCGGCGCCCAGACTACATGTGGCAGATCCTATCTAGCCTACACTACGATACCGAAAGATGACGTCAACAGCATTCCCGAAGTACGAGCATATGGCGACCAATGTCGC